AGTGTGTGTGTGTGTGTGTATGTGCAGGCAGGAGTAGTATGTATATGTGTGTGTGCAGGCAGGGGCAGAGTGTGTTTGTAGGGTGAATCCCACACTCACAGCTCACCATATACATGCATCCACACCTTCCTCGCACTGCCATACACACAGACCCCCACACCCACACCCCCTCACACATCTCAGCCACCCTCCCCACACATTCCCCCACAAACCCCATATCCACACACTCCTCACATATCCACACACACATCCACATGCTGCCTCATCCCATGTACCCACAACCCCCCACAAACCTATACCCACCCCTCCACAATATACAAGCATAAGACTTCATTTTAAGCGATTATGCAATCGACTCTATGTACACTACATAAACACATGTAAACCAGGGCTAACATATTTTTTGAAATTTAATGAATGTTTTAGATGCTTGCTTTTTAGAATATAATTTGGTATTTTTCTGGTTCTGAGATGGCAAAACCCCTTGCTGAAAGGAGTACTTTCGAGGGCAAGGGGAGGGACTTCTGGTGGCAAAGGTCAGGGTTTAGGGAGTGGGACTTCCTGTCCCAAGATGGTGACAGGAGGGGAGGGGCACCTGTCAATGGGCAGGGCTATGCATGAGGCCCTTGACAGCTTGCCAAAACTTGGGAAGCGACCCTCTGCCTAAAATAATTGCCTGCCCCTGAGCTAAGCCTACAGAAGCGCTCTTCTGTAAGCATAGGCACATCCATGTAAGGGTTTGGTTAGCATAGCTTTCTCAGCTAGAGGGTGTGATTTTTTTTTTTAATGATCTCAGTAATAGATCTGGTCTGCATACGCTTTTGCAGACATGCTCCAAATGCATTTTAGAGCAGCTGTCCTAGAGCTGGAGCTCAGCCAAGAATTCATTGTGGGATCTTTCCCTCACCCACAGGTCTATATAAGGAAGGGTTGACCCACAGGATCAAGAAGGGCATACCTTTTTTTTTTTTTTTTAAGAAAAAATCAGTTTTGTTGGCGTGACTTGTTTTGGGACATGAACACTGTAATGTCATTCCAGTACCTAAGCTTGTTTAAGGTAGCTCTTGAAGGCCACTGGACTGTTGTGAATATACAGCAATAAGTCAAAATTCTTCTTGGGTCAGGACTGCACATTTTGCTTAAGAAGTAGAAAATCTATGCAGCTAGTTCTTTCTGCAGCCTGATCCTGTGTCTGTCTTTTTACAGGAAAAGCTTCTGGTAAATATTTGTGGGAAAGGGATCACTAAAGGGCTTCCCATAAAAAGCAAATCGCTTTAGAGAAGTCTCCCATTAAAGCATCTCCACTGCTGGTAGCAGCAATGAGAATTCTGGTGTAGAAGGGCACTGATATTCTTTGGTGTTTTAACTATTGGGACTCATAAACCTGTTTTAATCAGGTAGTAATATATGAGAGCTGCATCTAGACTAGTAGCCTATTTCTAGCAGTGGTAGAGCCCCACTGAGAGATTCTGGACCTCATCTTATTCAGGGACTTACTCTTCATGCCTGTGGTTTTCTAGAGATTGCCAGAAAACAGAATATTTTCAGGAATTTATTCATGTCTGAACAGATGAGGGATATGGAAGTAGGGATTGTTTTGTCCAGGGGGCTAGTATTTGACATTGTTTACTCAGTGGCTGGATTGTTCCTTTTTCTGTGAACCATTAATTGTTAACTTGTATTGTGTTTGTTATAGCAGTAGGTCAGCAGAGTGTATTCAGAGCTAGTGACTGGAGGCTGTCTGTATGAATGCATTTTTTTTAAAAACTCCCTTGAGCTGTGGCTTAATTTTGGATGGCTTAACTGGATCTGTGAAGGTAGGGAAGCAACTAGACATTCCTGTAGAAGTTATTTTTTTAAACAACTTTGGGTACTAAATCCTTAGTCGACAGTCTTTCAGATATTAAAAGTTCACCTTGGATTATTAATTGCCAAAATTTCTGGAATTTATTGATTCAGTGCCAATACAGGTGGGTTGATGATTTAAACAACCAATTTCCTCATCTGTAAAAATAGGGATAATAATACTGATCTCCTTTGTAAAATGCTTTGAGATCTAGGGATGAAAAATGCTATAAAAAAATCTGGGCATTATCATTTATCAATGTCAACAGTCGTTTCTTATAGTTTACTGAAATAATCCAAATCCTTGGAGCATTGTACTGGGTGCCTGTTCCTCCATTTCTAGCTTCTCCTCCTTCTGGAGGCTCACTCCTTTTCCCCAAATTACACAACTTTTATATACATCATTTGTTGGAGCCAGGAAGATGATACCAACTAAAGTGGCAGCAGTCTACCGATGAGGCCCAGTTCAATACTTATTTAGCTGAAACATAAATAGCACAAGATTTCCCACCTTTCCCAATGCTAAGGTAAGATCAACAGCTGGATGCATAGGAGCTCATTGCCTTGGAGACAAATCAGAGTGGTGGTAATTTGTTGTTTATAATAATTAAAAACTATTTCATTGTGATCAAAGGTGAAGTTTGGGAACACATTCTGCAAAGTACCATACAAATTCACAGGAAGAGATATTGGGCTGCTGGTGGGCTCTTGTCTGCTTCACAACCTCTCTTTCTATTACAGTTATCTCTTCCTCCAATTGCTGAGTTAGTTCTTTAGTCTTCTGTGGCAGGTCTACATCAGTGGCAGTGAGTCCCAGCTAGATCATCTCCACGCACACCTCATCAGCTGGTGCTCATATAGCCAGTCCAAATCTGAAAGTCAGCTAGTGAGGCTGTTCTATGATTGTCCTCAGCCGCTATTCTCAAGTACCCTCAAAAACTGAGCTCATGAGAGTGTGTGCAAAGAGATGCCTCAGAGAGCCTTCATAGGTGTTAAAGCCCACAGGGATGCCATGCTTAGTGGCTAGAGCTGGGGTGGACCGGACGTTGCAGAGGTCAGCCACAGTTTGGAGCAACAAAAGGCAGATCTGATTTACAAGCCAGAGGTTCAGAAGTCAGGAGCCAAGCACCAAGCCAGGGGACTAACCAGGGTCAGGTTAGCTGCGGACAAACTGGAGTTCAAACAGCACACCAGAGGGTTTACAGGAATCATAGATCAGAAAGTGAGCTTAGGTCAAACTGGAGCCCAATGTCCAAAGGGCTGGCTATGTGGTCAGAGGTACTAGGGCAGGAACCAGGGAAGTCACAGAGGCAGGAGCTACTCAAGGACTGAAGCCAGTATGTTGCACATCAGGGCCAAGGTGCTGCAGGAATTCCTTGAAAGGAGCACCAGAAGCAATCAGGGGGAGGGGGCTGGGGCTCAATTGGCCCTGCTTAGTGAACTGGGTGTGACTGACCTCAACTTACACAGGCCGTAGTGCAAGAAGCCTTATAACTGGCATACTTCCAGGTTTGGAGAATTTATGTGCAAACAGTGGGTTTGGTGAGCTCAGGAACAGCCCAACTGGAATGCTCTACTCAAAATATAGGCATAGCCTTTTACTCCTCATTGCTAGAATTATAGCATTGGAAGGGGCCTCATCTAGTCCAGGGATGTCTAGGTCATTTGGCCCACTTCTCCTGGGCCAGATGATCCACCTCTGGCAATGGGGTGGTAGCTTGTTGACACAGCTTCTAGAGCTGCTGCTGTGTTAGTACAGTTCCAGAACCCAGGGGGTGACTGCTGCTGCCACTCACTCTGTTTTTGCCTTGCTGCCTATTTTAGTGGATAGCGGTTACTGAAGACCCTGAATTTGGTAGCATACAAGGAGGTTGGGGGATGAGCAATGGTGGTGTTCAGTCCCCAGTTTCCAGAACTATGCCAATGTGGTGGCTATAGTAGCCACACCAACAGAGCAACTCTGGCAGTCACAATAGCAGATCCAAGAATGAGGCAAGAGGGGTATGCCCCCTCCCCCCCCACTTGGCTGTGCTGTTTATATGCAGAGAGCTCTGAGCTTGAAGCTCCATGTGAGCAGTGAGCTCTGAGCTCACCAGCTGATCAGGACAGGGGCTGGCTGCAGCCCTTGTTTTTGTGAAGCTGTGGAGCCCTGGGGGTGAGCACTGCTGCCACCACCCATCCACTCATGTACTAGATGAAGCTACCACACTGCTCTGTGATGGGACCCTGGGATGCTGTGGGACTGCAACCTAACTTGAGTTGCAATGGGATCTGGTACAGACATTCAATAAAGTGCACTAAACTAAAGTGCTTTAGTCTGATACCACATTCATCCAGGGTTATCTTATATCAGGATCTGCCATTTTTAAGGTGCTCTATGTGCAGTGAACATCTGTTTGGTTATGGCCCTAGAGTGCTTTCTGCATGCTTACCATGTGGTAAGTGTAATGTCTGTACCTAGCCTAAGAGTGGATCTAATTCTAGGAACTTGAATCTGAACTTATTCATGCTGAAATCCACAATTCAGTGATTGTATTTTGGTTGTCCCTCTTTTGTAATTTACCATTCAGTCTCTTTAGATATGAACTAGAAAGGCTTTAATCAAAATCTTTTGCTTTGTTAGCAAAAAGAAGCTTTTTTTCAGACCAACCATTCTGAAATAACTTTGTAACCAGAATCATAGCAAAATGGTTTTTCACTACAGTTTAGTAAAACTTATAAAGGCACTATGAATTCACATAGAGAGATGATTGCAAGTTGTCTTAAATTTTTAAAAGGTTTTCTATGTCTCTTTCTTTTCTATGGAAACAATGTGCTTCTGGTCCATAGACACTGTTTACATTATAATAACCAACAAAAATATTGAATTTCAAGCACTGATAGTAGTGGAAACTATACACCCAGTATTTGGTTTAAATAATCCTAGGTTATAGGTCCCAATAACATCAGCTTTATCACTCTCTTCATAGCGCAAATAAGAGTCTGTCCTGTTAACACTGCTGTATCTCACACTGCTGAGTCATGCTGTATAGATAATTTGTCATGCACGTCTTTGCTCTCAGACCACAGATCATGTTATCACTTTACAAATATAGCATATTAGTACATCTGGAAGGCTAGTCACGCTGTGGGTTTCAAACAGATTTGGCTCACTACGAATTATGTTGCTGCTGTAAACAACTTCAGAGTCCCCAATTAAATAACCATAGTCTATACGTGGGAGCTCTGGACTCTAGTGTTCTTTAGTTATAGGTAAGTGGTGATTTTGTTGATTATTGAGTTTCATTGGATATGTGGGGTCAGGGAGGGAAGTAGGAGTGAAAAGATGTCATCAGGTCTTCATTGGTGCTGCTGAATTATGAAAGACTTATGTGCCAATGTATATGAGAAAAAATAACGGAAATACAGGGCAGTACATCCTAAGGGAGATATCTGTTTTATATTTAAAGATAGTTGCTAAACTCATCCCAAGTATAATTCCAGTGACCTCAGTAGATTTACACTTGTGACAAATTCAGCCCAATATGCTGTATTTTTTTATATATTAGGAAAGCTTGTAAGACACTGGCTGTCTGCTCACTCTGTGACTCCATTGTAATAAACGTTTGCTATTACATCTCAAGGACATATGTTGGTGTGAAAATGATTTTCAGCAAAAAAAAAAAAATTGTTGGAGAGATTGGTCATTTATCTTTGTTGTCTGTCAAAATTTAGAGTAGAATTTAAAAAGAGTTATAAAACTTCAGCCTCTGAAGGCCACTTAGAGCTAATCTAACACAGGTAGAGGAAATCTAACCAGCTAAATCTTTGTGAACAAAACATATAATTTCAAGTCAAATGTTGTCTTTATTGTTATTTCTACTATTATTTATGTCGTGTCCATCTCTTGTTGATTACTCTATGCTAAAAGGCTTTGCCCCACACCCCAAATATGGGGGTGCATCTACACAAGATGCTTACTGCAGTGTTGCCTAATTAGCTCCAGAGTAAAACATCACTGTGATACATGTGGCGCTATAAGGCCAGAGTAAATTAATTAACTCTGCCATAGGATAGTACTGCCTGACACAGGTATATCTGATTTACCCAAAGAACCTTGTCTGCCTATGTCCTTAGATCAATATGTCTACAACCAATACCTATCCTATAGCAGGGTTATTTACTCTTCCGCAACACGTGTGTGGATAATGACTGGGGCTGATGACCAGGGCTGGCTAGCCCTGCACTGTAGCACCCTTGTACCTCAGCCAGCCTCTCCACAGCACATTGAGCTGGGTTGGAGCAGCTCTGGGCTGGGAGGCTGACCCCCCAGGTTCCCTGTGAGCCGGGGTGGCATAGCCCCAGCTGAATGTGTTGCAGTCCTGGGTGCATGTGTAAATGCTGCACCCAGGAGCAAAAAACTCCAGTGCAAACTGTGGCAGAGTTTATTGCATAGTGTTAATATCATGTGTAGACATGCCCACGTTCTCTGAACCTCAGAAGCAGCTAACAGCATTCCTGAGAAGATCAGTAATGAATGATAACACTTATCTATCACTGATCTTCTCATCAGTGGGACAAATCCTAACCAATAGCTTCATCTCCTTTGTACCTCTCAGACAGCATGAAGGGAAGAAAGCTACTCTTGTTGGG